CACCTTCCCCCAGCCTCTCCTTGCCAATTTTAGGCCCTTCCGCAAAAAAAGGGGTCTCAGTGAATAAACGAGACTTCCTCGGATGAGAATGTGTGTGTGTGAATTTCATGGATTCTTAGCAATTTCATGGCAGCCCAGAGTTAAGGAAGCCTGAAAAGTCACAAGGATCATGCAGTCCATCTAGCCCCCTACATACCTACACCAGTGCAGATATGGCCTTGATTCTTGGGAGCTGGGTCAGAAAGAATTTCACAAACAACCTCCCCTCCTTCTGGAGAAGGACTAGAGAGGGCAAGAGGGTCTCACTTCTGATTCCATAGCCACCTGGTGCTGAGGGCACCTGCCCATTCATCTTGGGGAGCTTGACTAGCCCTGGGAGACTAGCCCCCTCCTCACTCTCATGGGAGAGCTTTTGCTGAATAGGGGGGAAATGAAGGGGAGGGCTTCTATGTCAACACCCCCCCACACACACACACACACTCTTACCTCTGACCTTTGCTTTCCCTGCAGATGCTCCAGCGGCTTTGACCGATACCGCCAGGAGTGGCTGGCCTACGGCTGTGCCCAGGAGGTGAGAGGCTTAAGTGAGACAGGCTGTGGGGAATAGTAAGGGCTGTCAGCAGACCCCTTCCCTGGTAGCCTCTCTCGAAGTGTCTTTGGCTCTTCTCTCCTCTACCTGGGGCTTGGATCCTCTGGAAGACTCTACCCTTAGATGACTGCTGGGGCTCCAGCCATCAGGCTTTTGAGGGAGGCAGTCGTTCTGGGAGTGAGGAAGGTTATCGCAGGCTCCTCCCATTTAGAATCCCATGCAGGTTCCTCCTCACCGCTGGAATTCCAGGGTGCTCCACACTTTGATTCTGGATTTGATGCTCACACCTTGTACTAACCCGACAGACCTATTCATCCATGTGTCCTTTTTCCTTCCCTTCCTCTCTCCATCTCTTCTTGCAGTACAAGCACTTCACTTCATTCTGCCCCGCACTTACTCTGATTTAATCCTAACACGGCCCCAGGAGCTAGGGGCCAGTGTCCCACTGATCTGAGTGGAAAAACGATTCTCAGAGAGATTTATTGACTTGACCTGCATCTCACAGCTCATGAGATCATGAGATACCAGGCTCAGCATTTAAATATAAACCCTCAGACCCCCTTGCCAGCCACTCATCATTGTCTGTTTTATTAGTAGGGCCGGGGGAGCTGCCCTTTCCTTGCCTTAAAAAAATCTTGTCCAGCAGCCCACTTCTGATGTTGGCTGTAGGTGAATGTGCAGATTTGCTCTATTTATTTAAACTTGGCATCTCAGCTCCTTCCTTGAGGAAGGATTCAACAGACAAATAAATTGCCTTGTAAGATAAGATGCTTACGGGATAAAGTGGAAGGCTTAAAAGCATTCAAGGCCCAGCTTCAGTTAGATTACCATGCTTGGACCATGGACTAGAATCTTAAGTTTTCTGGCTGCTGAGGGATGAAAGTGTCCCCATCATTCTCATGTTTGTGGCATGCCCACTGTTGAGGCCTCTGTCCAGGGCAGCGCTCGGTCTCTCTTACAGGCAGAGGGCAGGACGTGTGAGGACTTCCAGGACGAGGACCACTACTCACCCTCCTCTGACAGTTCCCTCAGCCCCTTTGATGGAGACCTCAGCACCACCTCCTCCTCCCTCTCCATGGACAGCCTCACCACAGAAGGTAAGGGTGGGGAGAAGGAAGAGAGAGGCCATGGGGAAGGCTACCTCCTAGACTATCACTGTCCCCAACAGGGATTATCTCAGGGAGTAAGAATTGCCACATCCATTCACAGATGAGCAACCTGAGGCTCAGAGAGTTGGGGTCACTTGCTGGTGAGAAGCAGAATCAAGTTTAGAACCAGTGGACTCCATGCCCAGGCTCTAACCACTGTGCTGGCCCACGTCAGGGCTGTGGGATGGAATTCACCTTGGCGAGGGGAAAAATTACGTCCAGCCCAGGGCCAGGTATTTTATATAGGATCTCAGTTCATCTTACTCGCAATCCTCACAGAACCTGTGAGGTCTCATCCCTGTAGCAGGTGTAAATTCAGTCCACACATTCAAATGTGAGAGAAAGATTGCCTCACTTTTCTCTAACCTCCATCCTGGCTCTCAACCCTCACTCAGCTGGAGTGCGGGAAATCCCACCTCAGCCCTTTTTGGGGCTGGGCTCCCCGCCCCTGTGACCTTGTGTAGCAGAGGGTCAGAGTAGGGCAGCTGTGTTCATCTTGGTTGCTGCTGATCCATCCCTGTCTCTTCAGGCCTGGCTGTCCCCAGGGACTTCTCTGCCATCTTGAGGCCTCTGGGTCTTGTCGAAGCTGCTAGAGGTCCATCCACCTGGAAGCACCACACTTGGTCTCTGAAAGCCTGTGCAGGCCCCTCAGGAGCTCTGGCTAGGGCTGAGAAATTTCTCTCTTTTACTCATTTTCACGTAATCTAGGTTTTAGAGCCTTGCCCTTAGGCTAAGACCAAGAGACCTGTGGGCTCTTACTACCTCCCCAGAGCCAGATGCTTCCTAGAAAGAGACAAATAGAAAGGAAGAAAGGAAACAAGAAAGAAGTTAATATTGTAAAACATTATTCAGCCACAGTTCCATTGTGTAGATAAGGAAATGGGTTCATAGGGGCAATGTAGGTTACTCAGGGTTATGCGAGGGATAAGTGGTAGAATGTTCTTTTCATGGGGTCCCTGCCTTTCTAAATGCAGCCTAGAGAACTGGAGAACTAGGGCAGGAACCCATGGACCTGGCCAGAGGGGAGTCATAGAGGACAGAACAAATGACAGTGGGGAAGGGACAGTGTGCCAGGTTGTGTCCTAATGTTGTACACACATTAATAATCAGCTCTCATCTTCGGCCATGCGACGCTGAACAAGCCCGATCCCGTCTGATCTCGGAAGCTAAGCAGGGTCGGTCCTGGTTAGTACTTGGATGGGAGACCACCTAGGAAGACCAGGTGCTGTAAGCATAAAAAATAAAAAATAAGGGATTATAAGCTTACAAGTTCCTTGCAATCTGTGAAGTCAACTAAAAAAAAATCAGTTCTCCTAACAATCCTGTATGCTGATGCTTTTTTATCCCCATTTTATATAGGAGACACTAAGACTCAGAGAGGTTGATGACTTGCCCAAGGTCACACAGCCAGGAAGAGGTCTCAGCCAGGAATCAGGTCTCACCTGGCTCCAAAATCAGCCATCCTGCCCATCAACCCCACTGCTTTTCTCAGTGTTGAAAGAAATGGAAAAAGGTCTTCGTGAATTCAGGGAACAGGGGAAAATAGTGAAAGGTGAATAAACAAGACAGATTCATCTGGCTCCCATTACTCAAATTGCCCAGGAATCGCAAGGAGCCGGTTAAGGCCTGGTATTGAGAGCAGAGTTCCTGCTGGTGCCGTGGAGGATTAACTAAATTAACTGCCCTCCAGGGAGTTAATAATCAAGTCCAGGATGACCTTCCAATTGAAGGAAATTCCACTTAAAAGGAAGAACCCCCTGGCCAGTCACCCCTGAATTAACCCTGTGTGCTAATGGCGGGCACACTCAGAGCCCAGCGCTTGAGGGTTTACTGTCTGATGAGCCAGAGTGTCAGAGGCCAAGTGGCTGTGGTGGGTATGGAGAGCCTAGCACATGACATGTGAGGACCAGGTTCAATTCCTGACTTAGAATTATTTTGCCCCCGACAGTCTTCTTCTCTCAGGTTACTGTCGTGGTGGGCTGTCCCCATACAGACGCAGCACGTCTTATTGGCCAGTTTTATTATGTGTGTATCTCCTGCCAGCCAGAAATGTCTCACTTCTGTGTGCTGTGTAATAGTCCCCAACAGAAAACATTAGTTAGAGTGAGGGCAATTCTGGCTCTATGTCATTCCAGTCCTGGATGAGGCAGCAAAGATTTTCAAGTTACATTTTAAGAAAAAACATTTTGATGCTGACTTTGCCCACACTCAATTCTCAGGGCATCTCCGCAAGATAGGTTTCAGTCACCCTCCTGCCTGTGTGATTACAGCCCGCACAGGGAGACTTGTGGAAGCAGGCGAGAGACAGTCTATCTCAGGGTACAAGGAGGGAGATGTTGCAAAGGAAGGGGATATAGAACTCCAGTCAGAGGGACCCGCTTGCTCAGAGCAGAGTTGAAGAAAAGAGAAGTCAGTGGGAGCAGGCTGCTGGAGGGTGCGCAGACCCCTCGGGCACCAGCCAGCGGAGCAGAGGAGCAGAGGAGGCCAGGGGAGCAGGGGCTGTGGGGGTTGGGTTTTATGAGTTGTTCACTTGCAATCGAATGCCACTCACTTAAGTGAACCAGAATGACCTCTGAGTGGTAAATGACTGCCACAAAGCCCATGCATTTTATTGCAAGGACAGACAGACCCTCCCCTGGAAAACATGCAGTGAAAAAGCTCATGTGATGAACAGCTGAACAGGACATGTTGATGGCAGCAAAAGGTGACAACTAACTACAGAAAGATGACAACTCATTCAATAAACATCACACACATTTCTTCTTTATGTGAATTTTCATGGGACTAGACCACAATCCATTAATTAGGGAACGAATTTGCATTCCATGGACCCTCAACAAGATGGCATCTGGGAACCACCCCTTGGTGAGTGGGAGAAAAGCTGTTGTGGGCACAGCGTAGTCTCCTTTAGTCGCTTTGTAGGAAGGGCTGGCTGTAGGTGGCACTGTATCCTTTCGTCTGCCAGGAGTAGATGTGGACTGGGCTACAATGTATTTTCAATGGTCTAGATTGGAAACAAGTTGATTTGAATCAAATTAATTTGCCCAGTGATGTTTAGAGTCGATATTGATTAACCAATTCATTATTTTCAACTTGCAATAACAAAATAGACTCAGAAGTGTGTTTAAATACCTCAGTCATTGAAATTCCTGAAGAAAACATAGCTTTCTAGTATAAGTCTATAACTCTGTTTTGTTTTGCTTTCGATTTTTAGGGTTGCTTTTAAAATCTGATTTCTTTATGATCATGTAATAGTTAAATGATGATTTACATGGTTCCAAAGTCAAATCTACAAAAGCAGTTATATTCAAAGAAGTTCAGTTCCTAGTTTTCTCTCCTTCACCCTATTTCCTCTCTCCCCTATAAAGAGTCATTTTTAAATTTGAGTTTTTGATATTTCAAGATTTTACTGGAAATGAATAGCAGAGCAGGATGCCATGTCCAGGCACGGGAGTGGGAGGTAGCTGGGCTGGGTGTCGAGGACCTCACAGTCTAGAGAAACAATGGGACCTGAGATGCTGCAGAAACAGGTACCAAATGCAATGGGACACCGAAGAGGGCACACCCATGTGTCCTCTGGGAAGTGACAGCGCCAGGGCGAGGTGAGGCAAGTGAAGCACTCAACATAAGGTGTAAAATTTCAGGAGGCACACACACACACAAAGCAATAATCAGGATAAATAATATTTTAATGCAATATTTGTAAAAACCAAAATTAATGCCAAAAATTCCATGATGAACAAAATATTAAAATTTTTATGTAAAGGCAGGACCAGATCCTGCCTCACTTGTCTCACCCCAATGCCAGCACTAGCCCCTACGCAGAGGGCAGTTTGGGGCTGGGATTTTTGAAAGAGGGACAGTGAACAGGAAGAAGGGCATCTGCTTCAGGAGGAATAGAATTGACAGCAGCTCAGAAACATGCAAGCCAAGGGTGTCTGGAGAGCCTTCTTATAGCCACTGCCACAGTGTTGAGTTGTGGCGAGTAACAGGAAGAAAGAAGACTGGGGACAAATTGCAAGCTCCTTAAATACTTACGAACAAAAGGGAGCCAGTAAACCCTTTAAAATGACATAATGGTGGAGGTGCTGGAAGGTACTGGAAGGGGAAGAGGAGCAAAATGCATGTCGTCAGCCGTAAATTGTGGACTGGTTCTATTTGTTTAAAATGTTGGTGCTTAAAGCAGTCACCTGCAGTCATCTAGACTGGTATCAGTCCGTGGCCTGTTAGGAACTGGGCCACACAGCAGGAGGTGAGCGGCAGGTGAGCAAGCGAAGCTTCATCTGTACTTGCAGCCGCTCCCCAGCGCTAGCATCACCGCCTCAGCTCCACCTCAGGTCATCAGGCATTAGATTCTCAGAGGAACACCGATCCCTGGTGCCAAAAAGGTTGGAGACTGCTGGTCTAGAGCATTCTCCTGACAGAGAACTCATGCTTTCCTTTCCCCATACGACAGCGGGGAGGAAACGCAGGAAGGGTCAACCGCTGGAACTTATTTAGGAAGCCCCAGAGAGCACACCCTGAGGTGAAGAGGGTGTGGGTATGGAAGTCGGAGGCCCACATTGTACCCTGGGAGAAGTCTCCAGGCAAATCTGATTTTGTGACACACTCACCCCTCCTCCAATCCTTCCTCAGCTTCCCATTGCCCCTTAGGAGAACGTGAAAGGTCCTTAACTTGGTTTCCAGGCAGCCTTCCCCCCACCCCCAATCTTACCCTCTCCACCCCCCAGCTACACTGAACTTCTCTTTTATTTCCCAACTGGCCAAGTCCTTGCTGACTCTGGCCCTTGCCCATACTCTTTCCTCTGTTTGGAACGCTTTTCTTAGCCCCATAGCTCACCCCTCCTTTGCGACCCCTTTGTTAGGTAAGGCCCCCAGTCAGAGCTTTATTATGTTGGAATTTAATGGTCCCTCCATACCCCCTTGTTAACTCCCTGAGGGCAGAGACCAAATGTATCCCCAACGTCTACTCCCAGTGCTCGGCTCATAATTAACACTCAATATCTGTTGAATGAATGAACATGAGACTAGGAAAAGTTGACTTGTTCATGGCCTTCTACTATTATATTGCTGGGTGACTTTGAGCAAGTCACTTCCCCTCTTTGTGCTTCAGTTTCCTTGCCTCTGAAATGAAGGATTGGACTGAATGTCCCTCAAGTCCCATCTGAACCTAAAATGACAAAGGCCATAATGATTCTACTAATCTTGTACTCTTTCTCCTTTCTCTTGGAAGATGACACCAAGTTGAATCCCTACCCAGGAGGAGACGGTGAGTATGGTAAGTACGGAGCTGCCTGCCCCTCCTGGTCAGACCCATTGCCTCTTGGACCCACCCCAAAAGAGGGTGCAGCCATCACCTGACCTCTTTGCTTTTATTCTGAGTGGAGAAGGGGAGAGCAACAGCAGCCTGAGCTTCCCAGAACTGCTGGGCGGGAAGGCAGGGACTTCTGGACTAGGTCCCTTAGCCTGAAGGAACATGTGTTGACATCTAAGCATTTCCCATCTCAGTCAAGATGTAGTTCTTCAGGCCTCTCTGCTCTTGAATATCTACCACTCTAAAAGGAGTGAGAAGGGGCGGGGGAGGGCTGGCTACAAGGGCAGGCATGGTGGTGTGGGGCCTGTGGCCCTCTCTCTGCCTCTTGCCCCCATGGGCCTCACAATCAGTGAAGGATGGAGAGCAGCTTCTTTCACATTAACTTTCCTTTGATTCCCAGCCTGCATTGGTGGAGAGTACACAAAAGTTGTCCACCACAATTTTTATAGGGTGCCAGAAGGTGGGGTTCCCTGCCCCAGGATTACCTGGGACGGTAATCTCTCTGATGACATGAGGTGGCCTCACCTACCCTCCCCTTCACTGAGAGCCATCTCAGGCCCTTGCTGTAACCACTGCAATGGGGACATGGAAATGCTTTCCAACTTCAGGGCCTGGGAGGTCTGGGGTCCCAGAAGGAGAGGAGAGGCTGTTCATGCAGCACAATTTGATTGGGTCTCACATCAAAGACAGAGCCATCACTCCTCTGTGTGTAGCGGGTATGAGTGTGCATGTGCCGTGAGAGGTGTGAGGGCAGGGGCGGGGGTGTAGGGCAACTCAGCCACGTTCCCCTCGCTCTGTACCATGTAGCTCGTCAGCCCAAGCCCTGACCATCAGATCATCAGGGTCACTGCAGGCTTCGGGCTGGTTGATTGCCAAGTCAGGGGAGACCAGCTTGGGGCATGTCACCTCAATTCTCCCACCTGTTGGCAGAGAGAGCCACTAACCGTGCACTGAAGTGCCCTGGGGTAATTCCTCTCCTGGGTTTCCTCTGCTTGCAGAGAAGAGGAGTTGGGGAGGGCCATGACTTTGGATGCAAGCAACATCCTATTAAAAATCCCCACCCCCTGCTGACTCTCATCCCACCTACTAGCTTTGTAAATAAGATCAGCTATCCCTCTTGTTTACATGCTCATCTGCCTCTATTTCATTATCTCCACATCCCTCTAGGGTAGGGAGAGGAAGCAAATAGCCACCCCAGGTAGTATCAGAAAGTTAGGCTTCTAAGTAACTGGCATTGACTGTGTCCTTGGGCAAATCACTTTACCTCTCTGTATTTCCATTACCTCAACCACACACAGGAAGGATGGGACTAGATGAGCTTCCAGCTGGATAGTCTATGAAAATACTCAGTCTCCTCCTTGGGATATGTTTCAAATGCTTGGGATATTCTCAGAGAGTGTCTGCTGGTTTATTAGCCCTCAGAGGACCTAGCTCATTTCTTTTACTGAGCTCCTACGGTGGGTTGGGTATTTTTTCTAAGAGCTGAGGACATAGATGTATAAGACACGATCTCTGCCCTTCAGGAGGTCACAATCTGGTGGTGGACAGTGACAGGAAAAAAATATGGTCACTTTGCTATCATAATACCTGATACTTATTTAGGTCATCCAAGATACCAGCCATGGTCCTCAGTACTTGACATGAATTATCTCATTTTAACCCTTACAATAACCCTAGCAGGCAGTTATTATTATCCTTGTCCTACAGAAGTGATAACTGAGACAGAGAGAGGTTAAATAACGTGCCCAAGTTCACACAGCTAGTAAGTGGCAGAGCCTGAATTTGAACTCAGGCAGCCAGATTCCAGCTCCCAAACTCTACCATCACTTACGCTTTGTGAATTCCTTAAAAGTGCCGATGTGGCATAGGTATCGGAGAGATTTCTTCTATGATCCTTATTAGACATTTAGACAGCTTCAAATGGTTTTGGAAAAACTTCCTGAACCGTGCCAAGTTAATGCCATGCTCATGATTCCACTCACTCCAGACCCACCTTTTCATGCATTTGGTAAATAGACCCGAAGGTTCTGTTGGCTTTCATCTCTAGACTTTGTCAGAACCCAGGACTCCGTGGCCCCACCTTCCCTGATCCCCCGAAGCTGCCCTGCCATAACGATCTTTCTACAGGCCTTGAGGACAACCTGTCCCCCAAGACAAAGGGCTCCCCTGTGCACCTGGGCACCATCGTGGGCATTGTGCTGGCGGTCCTCCTCGTGGCGGCCATCATCCTGGCAGGAATTTACATCAGTGGCCATCCCACCTCCAACGCTGCGCTCTTCTTCATTGAGGTCAGTGTAGAAATTGGCCACAGCTCTGCTGTCTGCTTCTGCATCAGCGTTTCCCCAGCCTTTGGGTACCTGCCTCTGCCATCTCATCCCTTACCTACCACTTGCCTGGCTCCTGTTCTCACCTGAGGAACCCTCATCAACTGGCACACCTCACAGTGGCTAGTGCCCTTTTAGCCCTCCACTCCCAGGGCTCTGCACCTCAGAACTCCCCCAGTCCTCCTGTCCTGTCTGCTTTTGCTCTCCCCTTTGTAAAATCAGAAGAGGCCCTGGGGGAAAGGAAGAAGGCCAAAAGTGCTACACGTGCCCACTTAGTGATGTGCAGCCAGTCCCTAATGATTTATGGTCTGTCATGGCCAAAATTCCAGGCCTGGTGCTTATTCAGAGCCATAATGGAACTGAGGTCTCTGCCGATTCAGCTACTGTGTGAGTTTTTTGATTAGTTATCGACAAACTATAATGAGTTGCTCTCCGGGAGCTTTCATTGAGGATGCTATAGTTTTTCATATCTCAGAATTCAGAAGAGCCAGCCCAAGATATATGGGAAATAAAGCCCAGGTCCCTTCACTCTGGGTCACAGAGCTCAGCAGCAACTGCCCCAGCTGTCTTCTCTCGGCTTCTCACGGGTTTTCTGCATGGTGCAGTGGTGGCGCTTCTGGGACCACGGTCTCCTCCAGGCCGTACAAGCCCACTGACTGCATTACCTGGAGGCCCAGGTCGTTCTCTCCTCTTTGTTTAGACACCCCCTGTTTCTCGAGAGTCCTAACTAGTCATTCTAAGACTTAGCCTACTGAGTGTCACCTAAGGGAACTACAGAGCCCCAGCCACAGGGATGCTGATAGTGCAGGTCTGAGGCAGGCCCAGGAATCTGCATTTTCCTAAGTCCCCCGGCTGACTTTGATATAGCACCTATACTGTCTGGAGGGGTACCTTGGTATTTCCAGAACCTCCCAGGTCATTCTGTATCTCCCCCACTTCTTCAGTTTCCACAGTCTCAGGGTTCTGTGTGTTGCCAAAGCTTTCACCTTATGTCTTGCAGCCCACATACTTCTGCAGGTTTCCAGCAGTTGAGGGGTTACAGCAGGGACCTGTCTAGAAAGAGGGGCCCTAAGCTTCACCTGGCTTTCAGTAGACCCCTAGTGTTCTTGCAAAGAGTCTCAGCGTCCAGCACTGTCCTGGGGGGTGGTCCCCAGTGGGTGAGGATATGCCTGCTGACTGTGGTCTGTGCCCCCACAGCGGAGACCTCACCACTGGCCGGCCATTAAGTTCCGAAACCACCCCAACCACTCCACCTACACAGAGGTAGAACCCTCGGGCCACGAGAAGGAGGGCTTCGTGGAGGCCGAGCAGTGCTGAGAATTCCAGGTTGCCCCTTGGAAGGGTAGGACAGAAGACCCAGGGACCCTCAAAAATAAAAGTCAAGCAAAGCGGAGAAGTGATTTTTCTTAGTCTCCTCTGAACATACTCTGGCTGGGAAGACAGCACAAGGGTTTGTGGTGCCAGAGCTACAGTTTGGCCGTCGCGTCCCAGATACTGAAACAGGGGTCAGAAAAGCAACCACGTTGAGTTTTTAAGGAACAGTAACCTCATTTCATCCTGTTTTGATGAAAGCGGTCATGTCTTCTGGGGCTCTCAGTGGTCTACTCTGTAGCTGCCCCGGAGGCCCCCTCCCATGTGGAGATGGCCAGATGCCTGCCCCTGGGCACCTAATGCTCCTGCATATGACACAAGAGCACTGACATCTCGGCTACCGCATTCCAGAGTCCATAGACTCAAGAGCTGGTCCTCCTGGCTATGGATTCGGCGCATTCGGTCCCCACTTTTGGAAGTTTGGAGAAGGCGTTCTCTCCTTCCATTAAACACAGGTACAGCTGCTCTCAGCAATTTGTCAAGCCATCGAATGGCATGTTATCATCAGGGGAAAGCCAAAGGAGAGGAGAGAAAAGAACTCGTGGGGAAAATTGCATCTTTAAGCTTTGCTCCCTCAACTTGCCCTTTCTGCTGAGAACCAGTACTTCTGCATCAGACGTGTGTGCAGTGCAAGTCACGGCTTTGCCCTAGCTGGGCCCAGCCTCGGCCAGGCGAGCCATGTGGAGCTGTTTATGCCGATGCTACATTTGTTGTCCATTGTATTCACTGGCCTGTTCTTCTGTCAGGGCCAGTAAGTACCTCCAAGGGCAGAGCTTGCCTGATTACTGTTTTTCCTCTTCTGAGCTGGATTTTGATAACCTTTAAGAGAAACAGGATGGTTTCTTGAGACATACCCAGCAGGGAACTTGAGACATACCCAGCAGGTGAGAGTCTGTTGAGAAGCAAAGCTGCCAGAGTGGTTGGGACAGAGGACTCTAGCATGGGAAGGAGGGACTTTCTACATAAAACCTTCATCTGGAAAGTTGCTTCCATCTCTCTAGCTCTGCCAGAGCTTTGGGAGCAGAGAGTTTAGGCTCCAGAACTTAACCTGATTTTAAGGGAATTCTGTCCCAGAAATGAGTCGGGGCTGCTTCCAAAGTGCATTTAAAATGAAAACCTATAGCTCACCCTCATTCGAAGTAAAAGATATCAGCAGTAAATAAATGTTAAATCACAGTCTCCCCTTAGTCACGCCGCCTTTATGCATGTCATCGGGACGCCGCAAAAGAAAGAAGTTTAAGTACACGCCTCCTCCGGAGGTGGGGGTAGGGAGTGCACAAATAACCAGACACATCTAAACATCTGACAGGTGGTTTTCCAGACACTCCACGGTTTATCCTCTGTGAGGACACCAATGACAATCAGAGTAGGAAACGTACTGGACCTTGGCTATATATATATATATATATTTCATAAACAGACAAGGAAGAGCTGTGGGGAGAGTCAGAATTTGAGAAAGAAAAAAGACAATGCAGCAGAGGGAATAAAGTTTTTTTCAAGTTTCTGAGGGACAGAAAGGTCTGTAGCAGAGCTCTCTTAGTGAGAGAAGTGCAGCCAGGCACCGAGATGATCTGGGCTCCCAGCACTCCTGGTCGGCAGGAGGGTGATTTTTGCTCTTGCCTGACTAGCAAAGCATCTATGAACTTTATGTGTCTAACACGGCCAGTGGGGCCATTCTGTTGTGACCAAATGCAATGCACGGCACCATTTGTCCCAAACCCAGCATACTTCTTCCCAATGGGAACTCTCCCAGCTGTTCTGGATTCTGAAACAGAAAGAACACCGAGAGTGGAGAAAGGGGCAGTGATGCTCTGGGGCCTCTGCCATAGCCACCGGTGCCTCGGCCAGCCTGGTCAGAGAAACCTGGCTGACCGCCGGGATGACAGTGGGGAGGGCGGTAGAGCTATCTGGCAGCAGGTAGCCTGGTTTGTTTACAACAAACAGCATTAAAGATGTGTCTCTAAAAGAGGCCTCTGGATATCTCAAGCCACAACATGTAGCCCAGTGCTCCCAGGAAACAGAGCCAGGCACTCACAGAGTTAATGCTGGTCCCAGCTCCTCTTACGTTCTCTCATGAGACAAGCATTTCTTAGACAGACCCAGGAGGAGCTTTATTCTGATGTTTAGAGCTGGGTAGCTGTGGAGAGTGACCAGAAGGAGGCTTCGGGATCTCGTGGTCAATCCTCCGAGTTTAGCCGACAGTCCAGGAAGGCAAAGTAGCATTTCACATTACTGTGCGCGAGCGACCACAGAGAGCTTGTAGATTTCCAGGCCCCTCCACCCCACAGGCGTATGCAATCTCCAAGGAAAGCAGGTGGTTGACAGGTACCTTCTCCACATGGTATCTCTGGGCATCCTCACAGAGATCCCAGTGGATGGGGTAGGAAGTTCATCACTGCCACAGGAAGCTTTAACCCTGTGAAATAAGGTTCTGGAGAGCCATCCATGTTGTACCAGAAATCGAATTGTCTCAGAGAAGCTCTGTTTTACACTAGAACTCTTACAAAAGCCAACAAGAGCATGGGAATAAGAAGAGGAATGAAGAGTCTGAGTGTGAGACGGGTCCCTGGTTCAGGCTGTGGGCACGACCTCATTCTCCTTTAATCAGCCACTCCTAGATTAGTGGGCATGTTCAGGGATTCCGATTCTAGAACATGAGATCATATGAGCCCCAGCAATCCACTGACTCTGGAGGCCACTTCTTCAGGTCTCAGCCTGGAGCTGGAGGTTGATGTCCTTTTGTCATTATTAGAGTTTCTCAGTGGACCTATGAAAGCAATTTTTAAAATTCAGTATGTTTCACCAGGGCTCACTCTGTAATGTATTCCTGTGTGTGTATATGTATATATTTAAGCATATATGTATATAGGCACATATACATATACATATATACATGTGCATGCACACACGTGCATTTTATCACTAAAAACATTGGATGAAGCTGTAGCTATGCTCAGCCTGTAGCTTAGTTTGTTAAATTAAGACTGGCAACTGCCAGCCAACCACACTATTTGAAAAGCAGAGTGTTCACCACTTGAGCTGATCACTCATCTGATTGTGGGCAGAGCTAAGACTCTCTTCTCCAGGTCCTGGAACAGATAACAGATTTTCTCAGAGCACTGATCAGCAGCTGCACCCCAACTCCCTGGCCCTTAGAAGCAACACCAGGTAGAGTCACAGAAACCAATGTTTCTCTTTCTTTCTCCATCCTCACTGCTCTCCCACCCCTTCAACAAAAACCTACCTGAATTTACAGCACAATATGAGGGATCTGGGGGTTGAGGACATCCTAGCTGTCCTTAATACAATGTACTCATGGATTTAGTATAAACTCTCTGCATGGATTCTCAGTGTTAATAATAAAAGGTAACATTCTTTTACAACTTCTGCTGTGTGCAAAATAAAGTGCAAAGGATTTTGAGTGACATTCTGCAAATCGCCACATATACCTTAAACCCAATGACTGCCATCTTCTCTACAGACCTTCACTAAGGCATATAGGAATAACCTCCAGCAATCTGCCCAACAGGGGTGCTTTTCCCAACCTCCTGTCTCACCTCTAGAAGAAACAGCCTAGAAAGAGACCTAGAATTTGTTTATTTGGGGTTTGTAAATCCCTAGAAGTAAACCTCCTAGATTTCTAATCTACGATCTAGAGTTACAAAATAAATCTGTATAAGTTGATGCCGCTGCCTTTCTAGAAGCTTTGCATTCAAACCACGTTAGCAGCTTCGTTGTGTTTTCATTACTTTGTGTTTTTTGCTCACAAAACATGGTTAAACAAACCAAAACAGAGAGGAAAAAATATGAATTCCTTACAGACCAAACCAGTTATGCCAAATTTCAGGCTCCAAACAAGCCAATTTATAAATAAACATGCTATGTTTGCCAAATAAAGAAGAGTATGTTGGAGAAGGCAATGTGGACTGGTGGAGAAAGCACCCAGCTAGGCAGGGAGTCAGAAGGCAGGAGCTGTAGCCCCAGCCCCAGTCCCTGAGGAGCTGTGTGATGTGGGCCGAGTCACCCAATGTCTCCGGGCCTCCGTGAAGTAAGGGGGTGGAAGAACTAATTGATCTAAAGTGGGAATATGGTCCTCTCCCTGGCAAACAGCCTTACCTGTTGTGGTTGGTTGGTTTGTCTGTTTTCAGCTCAGACCAAAGCATCCCTTTCTTTTCCATTATCCTGATAGGGTGACTTACTTGTCTAGGTTGCCCAGGACTTTCTCAGTTCTAACACTGAAAGTCCTATGTTCCAGGAAACCCCTCAATGGTGCAACGTTGGGACAATGGGTCCTTGGAGTCTATCTCAACCCCATTGGCTGAAGAGATAATGTTAATAATTTCAAGCGCTTTAATGTCTTAGACCTAGCTATTCAAAGTGTGGTCCATGCAGGCATCCCCTGGGGGTTGCTTGAAGTGTAGAACTCAGGTCCACCCACCCCGCCCCCTCTGAGTCAGAATTTGCATTTGAGCAGCTTCCCATGAAATGCAAGCAAGTTTGAGAAGTATTTCTGGGAAACAATTTTACCTCCATAATCACAGTTTCTTGGGGAGGCATTATTCCCCCATTTCCCAGATAAAGAAACTGAGCCTCAGACGGTTGGTTTACTTGTATTTATTCATTTGATTCATACTCTTTATGCACCTACTCTGTGCCAGGCACCATTGAATGACTTACCCAAGACCACACAGTAGTAAATACAGTAGTCAAAACAATCCCCAAACCCAAGTCTTCGATTCTCATCATTCCCTGTGAGCTATGGAGTGGTGCCAGAATCACGTGGCCACAGTTTAATATGGAAGTAGACCGTAGATTAAATGGAGGCCTTCCAGACCTGTAGAGAGCCTCAAAGAGATGCATAATGATTACTTTAGATACACATTCTTGGCTCATGGAACTTTGAGCTTATCATCTATTCATTTACACATCCTAAGAGCTTGAAAATGTCCTCATTGTTGCTACCTCCTTTTTATCCCCACTCCCTCACTCCAGTGACCCACCCCACCATGAAGGTTTGGAGCATTCTCCATAAGGCTTACAGACACCAGGGCTATGCCTCTGTGCTATTTAACTTCCTGAATGGAGGACAATGAATGATTTCATTGGCCCTGAGGGGACTAGAGCGAAGGGAGACGGGAAGAGAAGAGATAATCCTTACTTGAATGCAAAAACCAAAGAGAAGTTCTTTGGGGGACGGTTTTTCTGATGTTCATAAAACATTTTTACATTTGGTCCCTAGGGATAGGTAAGTTATGTCCACAGTTTCCCGCAAAGCTAAAAGCACTGAAAAAGAAACATCTGAATATAAGCCAATAACATTCATCACAGAATCCCAGTCTTGGGTTAGAACCTTCCCTTCCAGCTTTAATCTTTCCTCTTCAAAGTTTTCTATTTAGAAATTGATTGTCACCACCATGGGATCAGATGAAATGTCTTAAAGGTGTAATTAATATAAGACTCACCACATCCAGCTGAGAAAATCTGGAAATCCTCAAAAAAGAATGGGTAGAGTATCTCTTCCATCCATCTGCCCTAATGTCCCCCCAGTTTAGAACCCATTCTGAATTCACAGATTAGCTGATCTCAGTAAATTCAGATGCGGTGGGTTAAGTGCCCTCTGCCTTGACTCCCCTCTCTCAAGGAACAGTAAAGTCATTTTAAGAATCCTCTCCTCATTGCCAAGAGGGCAGCCTGCCCCAGGGTCCACCCTCTTCATTCTCCAGAGCTGCCGACAACCCTCTCTATTCCTTGGGGCTCTTCTCCCCCAAGTTCCCCATAGACTGAGCAAAACCTTCCCAACTATGCTTGCTTTTCCTCCTGCCTCCAAAGACAAACACTCGACCCTCTTCACTGGGAAAGAGGAACTAATACTAACAAAACTGGGCCTTAGCAAAGCCTACAGTCTGTTTACCTTTGTCCTCTGAGATGACAATGATGGTGGTGGTGGTGGCAGTTCACATTTACTAAATGTTGACTATGTTCCAGGTACTATTTTAAGAGATTTATTTATATTATCACCTATAGGGCAGATACTATTGTCATCTCTACTTTACAGGGGAGGTTACTGAGGCATAGAACACGAGGTCACCAGCTGGGTCACTAAGGCAAGGGAACTAGAATTTGGCAAAGGTAACTAGAAGTCAGCTGGCAGGGCTTGCCCACTCTCCTACCTTCAACGCTTTGACTTGCCCTCTATCAAAAGCTGTATGGACCCTTTTCTGGAGGGCTACTATCTAGTGAACTGGGAGTCACTCCCATCTCTGGGGCCTCCAATTTAAAACTTGCACTTGAAACTGAGGTAATAGTGCCTCTTCCCACCCAATTCTGCTTCCTGATGTCCATGGAGGAATGAACCATGTTGGGGTGTTCCTCCTGTCCTTCTGGCCACATATCTTAGAGGTTGATGTTTTTTCTTAACTACTGAGCCCAGTCTACGGGAATGGCTCTCTTGTCCTGTGGAAAACCAATGTCCATAAAGCCCAAGACCGATTTGCCTACAACCACACAGAAAGCAAGAGAGCCCAGGTTGCTGGTTCTCAGAGCCAGCATGTGTGGGAGGCAGGTAAGAGCTTGGGCTCACATGCCACCAGGCCTGAGTTGAATGCTGGTGATGCCACACACCATCTCTGTGACCTTATACAACTTACTTAACATCCCTGCTCCCTTTCAGCATCAGTTAAATGAAAGTGATGAAAATAATGGCACCATCAGGGTTTGTGAATATTATATTCCATTGTCTGGA